CATCCAAGGTGGACCTCTAGCGAAGGGCTTTCGATGGGAGGAAGGAACGACCTGCTCAATTAACGACGTCATTTTGGAGAGTACGAGATTCCATGCGTCATCGAGGTGAATGTGTTCAGGGATACCCCAATCCGCAGCGCTTGCGGCCGTTTTCAGATGGAGTAGGTCGGCACGCCAAAAATTTCGACGGTGACCACCGTGGCTATGGATCGTGAGACGGCGAGTCCAGTGGAATGAAACAACGCAATGATCGCTCTTGCCTATGGGTTGAAGAACGGTTAAGTTCGTGACATCTGAATCTGCCGGGGAGAGCACGAGATCCAAGATGTGCGGGGTCTGGTCTGGGAAAATACGAGTAGGCGTCAAGACATGTTGAACGAGGCTACAATCGAGAGCGGTTTTAAGCAGTGTGGCGTCGAAGGAGTCAGATCGGCGATCACAAAGAAGTAGGTCCCAATTGACATCCGGTGCATTGAAATCCCCCAAGATTAAACAGTCTTTGTGCCCACCATACATTCTTATCGAGCCCAACAAGCGTGCTCCGGGACCCGATGGCGCTCTGTAGACGACACCGACCAAGAGAGATCTGCATCCGTCATGAACACGGCACCAGAGGGCTTCGAAATTGTCATCCTGGTCACTGATTGCTTCAACTAGATGTACTTTGAGATCCGTCTTCCAGTAGAGAATTACTCCACCACCTGACCTCATCCCGTGGCGATCGGACCGGGAGTGGTGATATCCAGGGATAGACACTTCCGAGTCCGTGATATCTGAGAATAGCCAGGTTTCGGTGAAGGCCATCAGGTCTGGACGAGTCTCCGAAGTAAGCAACTGAATTTCGTCTAGTTTAGTCCTTAGACTGCGTACGTTGGCAGATAGCACGCGTAGTCCGTTTTTATGCTTTACTGTCTGGGGGTGACAAGAATCGGCCTCCAGCGCACTCTTGTGCTCTTCCGAACTACGCAAAAATCCACGATATGTAGATCGGTTTCACCACTCGCCCGGCGTGTTCGGAGCTCCTCTACAGCCTTCTTCATTTTAATTCGGTCCTCGGGTGGGAGGTCTCGTAACATGTAGAAAGGTTCGCCTTTGAGACGTGGAGTCCGTCGAAGGATGCGCGCGCACTCCTCTTCGTTTCCGCATACAATCTTGAGGGGTCGAACCTTGGAGGAATTTTCCTGCTTCTTACCGAGGCGGAAGGCAGAGACAATGTTTATTCCCTGTTCGCCTGCATCAAACAGTAGAGAAATCATCCTCTCGAGCAGTATTTGATCATCCAACATTCGTTCCGCCCAGGTAGCCTTTTCCGATTCCGCCGCGTTCACGATGATGAGACAGCGGTCACGAGATGGCTGAATGCGCTCTGGAATTGGTGGCTTACGAGATGCTGGATTTTCCTTTATCACTTTTTCCAGCTCAGAGATTCTGTTCAGAATTATCTTCATTTGTGACTGAGAAGATGGAAGCTCAGGTTTATGCAAAGACTTAGTCTTAGCCTTGGTGACACATGTGGCTGGACCTTGGCCACACGAGGTCAAAGTCGCTTTCTCCTTCACTACGTCCGCATATGACTTCGTCGTAGGCTCAACAGGCCGGATGTGTATCAATGGGTCTGAATGAGAAGTAGACGGGGCGGGGGTGACCGCGACCTTTGGAGCGTCGATGGAAGATGTGTTGCTCCGCTTCCTGGCGCGCCTAGCAGAAGGAGCAGAAGAACGTCTTTCAGGATGTTGATGTGGCGGACGTCTTGCCAACGCTGCAGCATCGATGCAATATCGACGAATCCATAGCAAACCCTTGTGCTCAGCATAGGTCTTGAAGAGCGGTTCAGTAAGTTGCGAGCAACGCTTTTGCCCACATGCCCAGAGTTTGCAGGCAATGCACTGGATACCCTTAGTCACCACTTTCGCACAATGCAAACATTGTGAGTTAGACATAATCACTTGATCCAATGATCCAATGACCTGTCTCAGAACAGAAAACCCATTGTTATCCCAGGTACATCCGGCGAAGATCAAAAGTATGATCCTGCTCTTCCTCCAATTTTTCCCGTTGACAAAGCTAGTTCATTATCAAGTCAACGACAGCCTAAGTATGATGCTTTTATTCCTGTCGTGCCCCCAACTGTCTCGTGATATACACATATGACATGCTACCCTTATCAAAAAACGTTCTAATGGCTAATTCGGGTCCACCATATTTGCATTTACCTACCATGTGCACTATGCTCGAAAGCAAACATTCAGACGATCACACAACGGGCAGTGATAATTCCCCAATACTTAACACATTTTCAGTGATTCTGATTAATGCGAGATCCATAATCAATGAACTTCATTTTACAAAACACACTTACACAGTTCAATGACCCACATGCTATCCTCGTTACTGAAACATGGTGTTCTTTGGATACGCTTGCCTCTACTCTGATGATTCCAAACTACCAACTAATTCGAGAAGGTCGCTGTGACAGAAAAGCTGGGGGTGTATTGTGTACGTGCACAAAACATTTACAGCTAAACCTATAGACCACTCACAATTGGAAAATGTCCCTGAATCTATTTTGCTGTTAGTTGCAGGTGCCTCATCTTAAATACTGTTCGCATGTACCTGTAACCCAACAAATGTGCCTAACGTATCACAGCAGCACTTCTGAATTTGACGTGGCATCAGGGTTGCCACACAGACAGATGAGAATTGTCTGTGATTTCAACTTACCGAAAATACGCTGGTCATCCCACCCATTGCCAATCTTGCATACCACTTTTCTTTCTGTCATCAGACCAGGGGATGGACACGATGGATTACCAGTCCAACTAAGTCCACCGATTTATTGGACTTATTATTCACATTGAGGATACCCAACCCACAGACCGAGATCTTAAACAATCTCGCTGGCAACGACCATAAAATGATCCGATCCAAATTAAAATGGTCACTAAACTCGAATCTACACCGTCAATTGCACCAATAAGAAAAACTGGGGATGATTTAAGTAGTTTATTTGTTGCCCTGATTGGGATGTATTTCTCTCTCTACCAGTGTGTATACGGCCGAAAAACCGTATTCATCAGCTAGTAGACAGTATCACCACCTTTAAGCTCTTCAGGATTACAACTGTTAGCAGTCGCATAGATGTACGTTGACCTTATCTTAGTCATGGAAAATGTATACGTCAAAAGGATGTCAAATAAACTTTCGTTCTTGCTATCAATAGGCTAACGATGTGTTTTAAGTAAGGGAGTGAAAGTTCAGATTTTGTTCTGTTCTCCGAGCTGAACAGTTTCGTTGCAGACGTTTCACCGCCAGTCGTGGTGACTTCCTCAGTGCGTTATAAGCACTGATTTGTTTTGTCGATTCTTACTGACGAGCGAGTGACATTTGAACCTGCTCAGTTCGATTCAGGTCCCGTGACCATTGCTAGTTCCCAGTGTGGGCGCCGCCTCTTTCGGACTCATGTGCCAGATGATCCACGTAAACTTCTTTCTCGCAGCTGCCTGTATATCGGATCTAAATCGATGCGTTGGTTTATTGAACTGACTGTAGAAAACCATGCTTCAAGGAATTCTCTTCCTTTTTTGGTCTCTCCTTGCGCTAGTATCTCTGTTTTCTCCCAATCAAATGCGTGCCCTTCTTCATCAACGTGTGTCGAGACCAAGGATGATGGGTAATGGTTTCGAGAGGCTCGGTTGTGTTCTTGTAGCCTTGTAGACAATTTTCTTCCCGTTTGGCCCACATAGTTCTTATCACAATTTTTACACTGTATCTTGTAAATGACGTTCCGGCGTTCGTGTGCTCTTGTCTTCCCTTTCGGTCTAGATAGGGTTCCTTTCAGCGTGTTGGTGGGTATGTGAGCCAATAACAGATGGTGTGGCTTGAGGCGTCTAGCAGTCAGTTCCGATACATTCTTGATGTATGGTAAAGCGATCCGTTTCGTTGTTGTTGGTTCAGGTGTGATGTTTGTACTCTTGTGGTTCATGTATCTTCGGATGAAGTGCGTGGATATCCGTTGCCATGAAGGATGTAAACAAATGATTTTCTTCCTCGCGTTTTGCTTCTGCAGTATTACAATGTGATTCTGTCCTACGGAACAAGGTGCGTGTGCAGCTGATTTTGTGACATTTTGCATGGTTGCTGTTGAAATTTAATATTTGATCTGTATGCGTGTCCTTCTTGTAAACTGATGTTTGTAGTTCTCCGTCCGTTGTTCTAGTAACCAATACATCCAAGAAAGGTAGTTTGTTCTCCATTTCTGGCTCCATAATGAAGTGAATACCGTCCATTGCATCGTTCAGCAGCCTTTGTGCGGTCTGCAACTGGCTGCGTTTATGACAAACGTGTCATCAACATATGTGACCCACCATTTCGGATTCACGGCTGGTAGTAGATTTTCTTCTAACGTTTGCATGGCAACTGCAATGAGTCCAGCTATTGGTGATCCCATTGGGGCTCCTTTCACTTGTTCATACAGTGCTCCATCGAAGTTAAAGTAGGTCGTAAGACATAAGTCAAGAAGCTGGGAACTAGCAATGGTCACGGGACCTGAATCGAACTGAGCAGGTTCAAATGTCACTCGCTCGTCAGTAAGAATCGACAAAACAAATCAGTGCTTATAACGCACTGAGGAAGTCACCACGACTGGTGGTGAAACGTCTGCAACGAAACTGTTCAGCTCGGAGAACAGAACAAAATCTGAACGGATCACCCGAGCTACAAGTATTCCGACTTATTGCGGAGTGAAAGTTGTCTAGTCCACTAAACGATGGCAAATGAAATTTGACAAAATCTATCAAGCTATTGGGAGACATTGCGGTCAACCTTTATGCATAATCTTCATACAGTGCAATCGAAGTTCGTTCCTGCCCCATGCATCGTTCACTACGTTACTGTTGCACGACTTGCGCTTGCTAAGACACTCTCATAGTGCAAGATAAATTCGTCGGGATAGCGGTAACTACGCCAGCCAACGTTTCTATCATTCCATCGTTTTTGCACAGTGAAGTGGCCAGTCGGAATTCTGGCCTAGAAGCCTTGGTAACATGTTTACAACCCCGTGAACCGGAAATCGACACAATCACTGTGGGAGGTTTGGTAGCCCTCACAAATATCGCACTGGATGAAACAACGAAAGCCAAGGTGGCTCAAGTCGTTTTGGGCAAACCCCTAGCATTTGTGTTGAAATCCAGGTGAGCTAATCAGCTGGAACGGTGATCAATCTGTGCTATCTTTTTTCTGGAGTTTAATATCTCTTAGCTTACTAAGCGTAAGCCTCTTTCTAACACTGGTTTCAGTTCGCAAAATACATTAACGAATGCCGCGATGGCAATCGCTGCAGTAGCCTATGATCAAAACACCGTACACCAATTCGTGAAGCATGGGGGTTTGGATAATCTTCTGAACTTGCTGGACTCGCAGTCGAACGAGGTGCGCCGGGCAGTATGTTGGGCCATTTATGTCCTTAGTGCCGAAAAGTCCATCGCCAAGGAAATCGCCAACCTTGGGTAAGTCGAAGAATAACGAAATTATAACATAACCAGTTAGATGCAGAAACAAATAGGTATGCTTCTTGGCTGAGTGACAGACCGGCACCTTCCGCGCAAGATGATTTGTACTAGACGTACCTGTAAAGCGTTGGTGTTTTATTTTAAAAATAATGGACCAATATCAAGATAGGGATAAAAGAGTTGAAGTTTTACAAGCCAGGAAGATAGTGTTAGCTAAATGCCTACGAACAACTGCCGAGAAAGTCACACAACCTCTGTGGGCGCATTATGAACTTCACATTAAATAAAACCGCCAGCCCTGATTTCGCGACAGCGCTGAGGAGCACAGTGTTTGTGCTTTGCGTACTTTACCCGATGGACGTGGGTCATATCACGCGGTGCTAGTTGCTTAATGCATCGTCGAATTAATTTCCAAAAATAGATAACGTGAAAGCAGAAATGGTGTAAACCAGAAAAGCTGACAAATTCGAAGGATAAAATTCCAGTGACCTTCCTACCGGATGCGTATTGCGGTCACTTTTATCGGTGGGGTCCCTTAGTTTGTGGTCAGCCTTCAGGTGGCGACAATCTTGACTAAGAGTTTCCAAAATATGACTAGTCAGAATGATACTGCAAACATTTCCGGAAGACTGATCTGCGTTATATGCCGTTTCTCATATACATCATTACCGCATCCAACCTTCATTTACGGAAAGTAGTTACCAGTGTAAAATTCAGTTTGATGTACACTGATATCGACAAGACACTACTGACGATGTATAGAACGGAAAATAACAATTGCTGTGAGCATATAAGTGAGGAAAATGTTGTAAGTTTGCATAAAACGCATGTGTATACTTTTGAATATAAAACTTCAATAATTAATAGTCTATCAAGGATTTTGTGACAATAATCACAGTAAAAACCATGTTAAATTTTCCTACGCGCTATCAGCTAACGCAGAGATCCAGGCACTACGAAGGCACACGACAAGTATGCTGCTACGTTTGTTAAGTCATAAGTGATGGTACTTATTCTTCTGGCTAAAAGGAATCGCTCCATTAACCATGGGAATTAGGCAAAGTAAAGCATTGTGCAGATACGGTGTTTAAATGCTTTGAAGTTCCGGGTTTCGGTGTGGCTCTCTCTCATACCTACACTCTACGACGCGTTTCGTCCTTGTTTGTACTCATCAGGTAGACATAACCTGAGCTGGGAGTAGAACTCGGCACATAGTGGTGAGCGGCTGTCGCCATGATAACTACGCGATTGGGATGCTCGAGCAATGCTTGACGCAGCGATTAGAATTCCACAGTTGTGCTTTGGAGTACCCACCGTGTGTCTTGGATTGGGACACACAAGCTCGATTGGGGCGATGGTTTACTTGGAAAGAAACCTATGCCATTTCGATCAATGGGAGCACATCCGAATTGGAGAGTTTCGGGATTGTTTTCCTCTAACACTGCACTCCTTGGCCGGCCGGTTTTGTTCTGATTTGGAGTCGCAGGCAGAGACGGCTTGAGCTGAAAGGGGCGTCCAACACAGTGGTTGACGGCTTTCCACTTGATCATAAGGCCAGAGCTTCCCAAGCACTGCTTGACAAAGCAGTTGAAAGTGCCTTGCTGGGTATTGGATTACCCACCTGGTGTCTGAACTGCAAAACTCTACCTTGACTGAGGCCACGTTTAGCTTTGAGATGTCCCACTGCCATTTCAATCCCTGAAACTGAATCCGAAGAGGAAAATTTTCGGTGTTGCTCTGTCCCATCCTTACACTATACGACGCGTTTCGTCCTTGTTTGAACTTAACATGTGTAAATAGCCTGGGTTTGAAGTTTGAATCGGCCCATAGTGGTTCGTGGCTACCGCCATGATAACTATGCTATTACGATGCGCGAGCAAAGTTTGATACAGTAGTTAGAAGTTGTTTGTCGGGTTTTAAAGTGCCCGCCGCTTTTCTGGGAACGCGACACGCAATCTCAATGTTCACCTCAGTTGGCTTTGAAGTCACTCCCTGCTATTCCGATCACGGGCACGGCACACGGAGTGGAGGGTTTCGGTGGTATATAAATAAATAAATCCTATATTTCTCGATATGCGAGGCACAGGTGAAATGTGTGCCTGATCAGTTTGTACAACAATGTCGGATAGTGGAGAGATTTTTCAAGATCTGTTGTGCAGTCAGTGGAAAGTTTGGGGTATTCAAACAGTAAAAAATGTCGAAAATGAGAATAGGGATGAGAGTAGATATAGCCGTCAGTTCAAGTAAAGTAATACGACCTTTCATGGAACTGTCTCCCGAAGATCTGCTTCCACATTTCACTTCCAAATCTCATATGACAATGTGCTGTCTTGGCTTAAAACAAGTAGACAGTGATAGTGTTGACCCGATTTTTGTTTGCTATCACACGCAATTTTGTCATCCTGGTGACACATCATATATATATATATATATATATATATATATATATATATATATATATATATATGGTCGGAGGCATCCTGTTTTGGATTTGCCTGTCACTGTGGCCAGCCACAGGACGCCTGAGCCTACAGAGGGACCGTGGGTGGCTTGCGCTGCACCACCCACAACTCCAATAACACACCTCATATCCAGTGTAAACCCGAAGGAATAAGACCGGAAGGCATGTGGATGGGAGCCACGTTCCATCAACGGAGCCGGTCTACACTGCTTCACAGACAAACAAAAACGCGCTGTATTTGGGAACCAAGCGCACACAAGGCGGTGGCTAGGCCGTAGCCCGCTCCACACTGAGTGCATGGAACCACTCTTCGAGCCTAGCACAGCCACAAGAACCATCCCCTCCAGCAACGACCAACGGTCTCCTAGAGCCAGTACGGACGAGGTAGTGGGTAATAGACAGGTAGGCACCTTGTCAACAGGCACATCAAGCGCAGCCACACCGGGGATATCAAGCAACAGCCAATTACTTGAAAGAAAGCCAACAAAGAAAAGCAATCGAGTAATGCATAAGGAAACGGTGACAAGTCTTAAATTAATGAACATATGGAATAAGTTGTTAAAAAGGATCTGAGATAAGCTCAGGGGATCAAAAATTATATTTTACGGAAATGACACAAACGCGTATATGTTGTCGAAATTAACTACAATTGTTTAAACGAGTTGTGCAGGTTTTAAAGAAGAGCGTACAGGTGGACATTAATTTGAGAAAGAAAAGCATTAGGACAAAATTGAAAACTCACCACCTGAAATAAAAAGACTTAGCATGCAAACACGCGGTTAGTAAATCGAATGCAGCGTACCTATAAACGCTGCGCCGGTTCTGCCTACGTTCTCTGCAGGACCCGTCGTCGCTTCGGTAGTGGTCCCGAGTGGCCTCGCTCATGGCTCACTAAGCCTGCCTGACTCAGGCACTAGCGACCGCATGTGTTACAGCACCATGCGCTCGATGTCGATGGAGTGCAATCCATTGGTGCTTGCCGCTTCTGCACTTATCGCTTCTTCTCTGCATGCATGAGGGCTTTCTCCTGCACCTCGGCAACTGTCTTCGTAATCAGGTCGCGCCATGCACGCCGATCAACCGCCTTCGATTCCCATGATCTGCAATCAAGATTAGAACGTGAGAGGCTCACTTGTAATATGTCCTGGTAACGTAACTTTGGTTTCCCCACCTGCCGCTTCCCAATACTCAGCTGACCATAGAAGAGTTGCTTCGGTATCCCCGTAGAATCCATACGACTTACATGACCGATCCACCTCAGGCGTCCCAGCAAAAGTATGCAGTCCACTGCATACATCCCACTTCGGCGCAACACTTCCGTGTCTGCAACTCTGGCGCCCCAACCGATGCGCAAACTCCGTAGCAAGCACTGCTGATGGAACCGCTCGAGATATCGCATATCCCGCCGGTACATCGTCCACATTTCACTGCCGTATAGAAGAACGGACAGCACCATGGATTTGTACACCATCAGCTTCTTGCCAACGGTAAGCTGATGGTTGTTCCACACTCGGTACTCAAGCTTCCCGAATGCCGCCGCTGCCTTCGACACGCGGATACGAAGCTCACTGTGAAGCTGCTTGTCAGTCGACATCACACTCCCAAGGTAGCAGAAGCGGGAGGTGGTTTCCAGTACTTCAGCACCAATGCTGATTCGCGGCAATATTGAAGATTGCACTTCCGGTGAAGGCTGAAAGAGACAGACAGTTTTGCTTGTGTTGATGGTGAGCCCGAATTTGGCCGCTGTCGAAGCCAGAGCACTAGTCATATGCTGCAACTCATCCGCGCTGCCTGCAAACAACGCACAGTCGTCAGCAAACAGCAACATACGGATAGTTGTCTCACAGACTAGAGTTCTCGCACCGAAACGACGGATGTTCAGCAACCCACCATCAATACGGTGCTCCACACGAACACCGCAAGCACAAGCGACATCAAAAGCACAGGACCACATTGCATGAAGATATATATTAAACAGGGCAGGAGCTAAGACACAGCCTTGCTTCACATCAGCGACAACTGCAAGGTCATCTGAGGTCTCTCCACTCAGCTGCACCCTCGCTCGCATACCACTGTGCAGACATCCAATTAAACTTACAAACTTACGCGGACAACCAAACTTACCCAACACCAACCACAATGCCTCGCGTTTCACCGTATCAAATGCCTTGGTGAAATCAACAAAAAGCGAGTACAATGGCTGGTGTCGTTCTCTGCGCTTCTCTTGCAACTGACGAGCCGCAAACACCATATCTATAGTGCTGCGACCCGAACGGAATCCACATTGCTCTTCCGCCAAGTTAGATTCCACAACCTGACTCACGAGGCGATTGAGCAGGATTCGGGCAATCACCTTGCCCACACAACTCAGCAAGTTGATGCCACGATAATTCGTGCAACACTGCTTGCTCCCTTTGCCCTTGTACAGTGGTAGCACAAGGGCATCCTTCAGCTCAGCAGGCACCTCCTCCTCAATCCACACGCGTTGCACCAAGTGTTGCAGCGCAGTCAACAACGCGGGTCCACCGTGTTTCAATACTTCAGGTGGGATCCCGTCACCTCCGGCACATTTGCCGTTTCGCAGCTGAGCAAGTGCTCTCTGCGTCTCATCCAGTCTCGGCGTATCCGCCAGATCCGCCTTCACATCGTGCTGCTTCAGGCCATTCAATGTAGGCCAGTCGATCTCTGAACGGTTGTTCAAGAGACAGTCAAAGTGTTTTCGCCAGAGCTGCATTATATCTGCAGTCTGTGTGCAGGTAGCGCCTGAACTACCATCGATCAGCGTCCTCAGCGGCTCCAATCTCGGTCCATACACCGCCTTCAAGGAGTCAAAGAATTCCTTGTGTTGACGGCGTTCGGCGTAGCATTCCATCTGCTTCGCCTTCTCAGTCCACCATGCACTTTTAATGCGACGGAGCTCTCGGGTCAGTCGCCGTCGAAGTTTGCGAAACTGACTATTCTTCCCCAAGTCATTGGGGTCTGCCACATGTGCAGCAAATGCTGCATTCTTCTCCGACACCAATGCGCCAATCGTCGCATTGTCGTCATCAAACCAATCAGGCCGCTTACAGTTTGCGCGCCCGATGGTCTCTTCGGCAGCAGCTGTCACCTGGTCGCGAATGTGGTGCCACAGGTCGCCCACTGTGGCTATGCAGTCCACATCACACAGGCGTGCAGCCATCGCCTTCTCCAGCTCAGTATGTTTCGCCACAGTACCGAGGGAGAGAATGTTAAATTTACGCCGATTCACGGCGGGAGTGCAATACATTGATTTACGAAAATATATGTACAGTTTGGTCCTCACCAACTTGTGCTTAGTGCTACACTCAGCTCCACGCAGCACATGTGTCATGCGCGCTTCACGCATATCACGCTGATGTACGATGACATAGTCGAGCAGGTGAGCGTGACCAGTCCGTGGGTGCGTCCAAGTTGCTATATCACTCGTACTCAATGCAAACCGAGTGTTCGTGATCGTCAGGCCGTGAGTGGCATACAGTGAGAGCAGCCTGTCATCGTTCGTATTCGCTGAACCAATGCCATGCGAACCGATAACATCTGTCCACACCGATGCATCACACCCAACGCGCGCGTTGAAATCACCCATCAGAAATAGTCGGTCGCTCCTCGACACAGACCGTAGCGCGGAGGATAACTGAGTATAGAATTGCTCACGCGTGACATTAGGATAACACATGCTTATAAAAGTGGCAAAATTACTTCTTCCGAGTCGTAGGCGAACATTTAACAGTCGCGCGCTGATGCCTGTTGGTTCACCCACCAGCTGGCCATGGAGCCGATCGGATATTGCAAACCCGACCCCATGATCAGGTGGTGCTGAGGCGGCGTTGCCCACCCAGTAGAATGTGTAGCCACCACCTGCCTCATGCAACTTACCTTGCTCAGCGAGCCGGGTTTCACTGAGCGCCGCAATATCGATGTGGCAGCGCGCCAGTTCCATCGCGACCAGTGCAGCGCGTCACTCCGGACGCTCGCTGGAGTTCCGGTCCAGTAGTGTGCGCACGTTCCAGCACCCGATGCTGAGTGCTTTGCGCGCAGGCATACGATTGCAGCGGTGGGCAATCGCACGTGAGATGGTCGTTGTGCTTCGGAGGTTTGCTTGAGGGACTCCACCCGGAGCCTTTGGCTCAATAGCCTGACCCACAAGGCAGTGGGGAGCAGATCCAGCTCGGGAATGTGATTGCAGAGACAGATGGGATCTGCTTGACGGCTGTCACATGCAGCCTTGGAGGTACTGGAACGGTTTATATATGTTTTGCGACCGTAATAGGATACATCTGCGACCACGGCCAGACGCAAGTGGGTTTTGGCGGGTTTGCACCAATTTGACCAGGGGCTACCTGGCTTGAGGCGGGCAGTAGCAAACCATTGAACACCCGGAGGTGCCCTCCCACCGTCAGAGACAATGTGTGGCGCTTGTGCTCTACGCCAATCGAGCTGTGAGCTTATAACCCGTAGACCTGTTGTCTCCCATGGCTAGGTTTTACGGGAAGAGGGCCATGGACCACTTCCTAACCTCCGAAGAGGATGGACTAGGATACTGCCAAGGTGTTCACACTTGACAGGAGAACGACTTGGATCCTCAGCCAAAGCCTTCAATAAAATGTACACCCGAAAGACAGCGGGTCTAGCAAACGGTGAGTTCACTAACTTATGCGGATTTGTGTCCCGGATCTTAGCAGGGAGAAGGGCGAAACCCAACTCTCATCCAGCGGTCGCCACGTGGAGGCGCCCAGGACATGAGCAAATGGCACAAGAGTAGCAGCAGTGGGTAGACCATCTGTCAGGATCTAGCCACCACCAGTCTCAGCGCACCATAGGCTTTCCCGCCATATATATATATATATATATATTGCATTCTTAATGCTTCTTCACGGCAGTTGGGCTAAGCCAAATTACACTTAAGCTAGGCCTTTTTAAGCTGGACAAATTTCATTCTATTTCATTTGGTTTGTTCTGCCTACCTGTAGTGGGTAATAGACAGGTAGGCACCTTGTCAACATTCACATCAAGCGCAACCATACCAGGGATATCAAACAACAGCCATTCACTTTAAACGACAAGATGAAATAAAACAAATCCAATAATGCATACAGATACGGTGGCATAACTCTTCGCTAAATTACCATATGAAGTAATTTGGTTAGCAACAAATCAGTGATAAGTAAGAAATGCCCACAAGTTACTTAAAATGCTCCAAACGCAACAAAATTACCGAAGATAAGCGCAATTAGTGTAAGCAACGTGGCCAGTTAATGGAACATCATTCAGGGAGGCAGAACAAACCAAATAAGCGGAATGTAATTTATCCAGCTTAAAAAGACCTAGTTTAGGTGTAAGTTGGTTTAGCCCAACTGCGGTGAAGAAGCATCAAGAATGCAACATCAGCCTCAGTATATAAATATATATATATATATATATATATATATATATATATATATATATATATATATATATATATATGGGGTGTGTGTTTGCGTGGAGTGCAGTCTTCCTGTACCTTCTCGTATCTGCAGTGCTAGATAATTCTGAAACCATTAGCCGTCAACCAGATCCATGTGTGATTGATACAAACAGCTTGACAATGATTTGATGCTGGCCTTGCAACTCAATTTTAATTTGTGTACATGCTTACGGAGAAGGAGCGGCCCTGCTTCGTATCATATCTGGACTCAGGATGCCAGACGGCGTATTGGTACGCATCGATTTGCTCATGCTCATCCGTTCTATTGCCCTGGAAACGCTAAGCACAAGATGACGGCATTTGTCCATATTTTCCCTACGGTTTCATCCCGACTGATTGACACTAGCCTCCAATAAGGAGTCGTTTATCTAATGTTCACGCGATGCTATTCGTTTCTGCATGTTTCCACACTCTCCAATTTCAACTTTCTTCCCATCTTTCATTGAGTACGGAAACGTAAGGGACCTGTCCTCATATATTACAAGATAATACTTTCCATAAAACTTCGCCTTCCAAACCATCCTTTTCCATAAGACGAATGGCCAACTAGACCGGTGTGGCCAAAGGACACACTCCCTTCATGTGCATACAGTCGATGCGCCGTTTTTGTTACTTGCAAGTGCAAATATGGTCTAGTCAACGGTGGTCCCATCTGTGTCAAACTAGGGCGATGCTGAGTAAATATCTTCACTTGAACTCACATTTTGTAACAGGATCTCATTGTACGACCGGCCGTACTCTCCGCGAGTCAGATTTGTCGGCAAACCGATTCGGTCTGCGAGGAACTGCAATGAAGAAAACGAGGCTTTTTCGTTACAAAATGCAATGGACTATCGGATACACTTGCCATTTAAAAACTGACAGATAAATTCTTGATTCTGTGACCAGTTCGGCACTTGTGGTGCTCAGTTTAACCCGGCGGTACTTCTGGTGCACATGGACTGCTGCAATTTGCTTACTGATTACCCCTGGGTTGTTAAGTCAGATTCTGTTGAAACTTAAAAATTAGCCATATTGTAACGATTCAAAATGAGCTATCCACTCGAGAGACTATCAGCGTTTTGGCTTGGGACTTTTCTGTATTAGCCCTTTGAAATCAGACATTCGACAAGCGTACAATCAGCTTTCACGAACGAAACGATATTCGATCCTTGTGGCCATGACAGAATCGCGATTCTATCGTAAAGAATACATCGTTACGGAGAGAGGTGGCGAGACTTGTTCAGCCTCCTATAGCAAAAGGGCGAATGCTCTAAGAACATACCGTGGATGGTGTAAACATTTCGTCGTCAACAACAGCATACTATCAGCACCCCATACTACTTCACTGTAATGCAAGTTTAATTATTCTACTATTAAGTAATCAGGAGAAGGTGGGAAGGTGAGTCATGATGCTAAACCCAAGTACTCTGAGGATATTTTCGCGGTCAAAACATCTGCACCTTGCTAGTAGCGCGCGGCCATAAAGAGCCTGTTGCCGTGCGAAAACAAGCATGACACCGACAAGATAACTTCCTCGCAGCTCTTGTTGCCCCACGTCAAAGTCAACCTCATACCACCGAACACCAATCACTCTACTGGGAACAGTTTGTCCAGATAGAATGCAATTGGTTACGAGATGCGGCTTATGTGATCATTAGTAGAGCAGAGTTGACTGCTTAAACTCCAACTCGTTAGGCGACATCATCCGACGGCGCATCGTTTAGATGTCACTGGCTTCATTTTCTGCTGCCGGATCAACGGCAATCTTTTCCATTTTTAGTCCAGTAACTAACACAAGACTGTCTACTAAGCACTCGTCCACCATGAAACTGAGAAACCCTAATCGTTGTCTTCTGCACTAGTGCCACAACACCAATTTGAGTATGTGCCTGTTAATCTTTTTGGAATACCACTATACCAATATTGTTCGTCATACTGGGACATTTGGCCATCATGATTCGGAAAATGGGAGAAAATGGGCCATCATTATCCTTAAATATGGTGTTGACAACATCGGCATCATCGAGGACAGGGTTCACATTTAAATCTTTGTTACCAAATGTCAGCGCAACTTCGCAAATCCACCGTGCTGTTTGCAACTCCAACAACTTCTGTGGTGGTCCCAGATTCTCTTGTCTCCGAGAAAGCCACTCCACAGCTACCTGACTTTCCATCAGTTCCTTCGCACATTGCCGTGTCTTCCACTGAGCAATCCTACTCCTCACTCACTCTGGTACGTGTTCTCTACTTCCGGCGTCTTAGAAACATCATTTTCGCTCTGAGTGGTAGAGTCTGCAATACAACCTTACGTTCAGACGTCCCCTACGGTTGTGAAATCTGACCCATCAATCAACAAACGAGAAGACTGCTAACGTTCACCCACTGCTAGGAACATCACGTGAACGTTGTACGTATCCGCTACGTTGTTTGTGGCGCAGGAAGAGCCAGTTCGCTGTTCAGCGCCGTTATTGCACGCCTCACTCTCCGATGACTGGGTCACGTGTTGCGTCTGCTACCACGTCGATTCCCGCGGGGTAGGTTGTTTGCCACGATCAGTGTCTGGATAGGAGACGGAAAGGGGCCAACCGATTAATTAGTCACGAAGGCTGTAAACCCTCACTCCCAATTTAGTGCCAGATTGTTTGGATAATTTTGACGTGGCGAAGAACCGACTCCAATGACATTTGTGTTGTGGGTTCCTTTCTCCGTCCCAAACCCAATTAGCGCCTCTCTCCAAACACGATCTCGCCATCAGTGTATAGAATAAAACAAGACATGACAACAATTTTGTGTTGCTTTGTGGCCTTTTCTTCTGGTATCTAATCAGATTGTATTGCGGTACGATAGTTGGGATTATCTCTCTCCCCTAGCTGATTTCTAGAATCACATAGTCTTATAATGCAATTTCTGACAGCTAGAAGCAGTTAAACAACCACCACACATTAACATCAATTTTCTGGTGTATAGCATGATAAATTTCAAAACTTGGATCACCTATGCTGGTTAAGTTCTACCTCGTATGTCCGCTGACTGTGTCTACCTCGGTGTACGATATTTTCGGAGGCTGCACGAAGTGAATTATTGAGCCAGAAACCTCAAGCTGTTTGTCTTGACCGCGGAGGCTACATTACCAGTCGGATCAGAATTGCACATCCTATCCATCAGAATGTCGCATAACCAGCCGAGCCCCATGCGCTTGGTCTCCTTCACCCAGTTTATCACATTGCACTTGGTAACTATTTTCTGACTGTATTCAGCTCTATTTTATACGGTAATGTCGCGTTTTCATAACCTCTTAGTTACCAGGACTGATTTGCCGAACGTTTGTCAGTTTGGTGGCAAAAGGTCATCACTGCATCCGGAAGGTTATTCTGTCAGTATTGCTTTCCGCTTACTTCTGCTCGAGACCTATCCCTGAGGAGTCAGTCTAACTGGTCTAACTGAGCAGCAAACATTCAACTATGGCTTCAGTTGTCAAGTTAGAAATTTTTTGAGTATTTTCGTATTATTATCTAAAATTCGCGACCTGTCACTTAACCCATTAACGCGCTAGAGCATTCCCATTGCACTACACCATAGAGTTCGTTACCATCAATCCTCATAAAGCACCCTGAACTTCATATCGATGGTGAGGGATTGCTCTCCTGTGTGTCACCGAAATATCTGTGTCCCACTGAGCCACGTCTATCTTAGGCACCACATCGATTAGGTATTTACATATTTCAGGAAGCTTTCCACATTTTCCTTCTACGAACTGTTTCTGTCCGTCGCTACCCTACTGTTGCGATTTATCAAAACCTGTGTGTGTCATTCCACTGGAAATATTACTCCTCTATACTGTTCCCTGGTCTACTGAATAATCCTTTCAGAGTACTGCATATGTTATTAGATATTTGTCCCAATTTAGTGACATTCGAAGCCGATCTTTTTGACGCTGTTTGTGTACAAGCCTTGCTTCGAAAACACTCAGTAGGCGTCAACTTCATTGAGTAGATGAAGATGCAAATCCATTTGTGGTCCCCTAGGTACCTAGTACTCGTCAGTCGTCCCACATCTGGTGACTTTGCGAGTCCTGAACTCAATCGTTCAAGTGAATTGCCTTCGGTTTTGCATTGCGTTTATTTTACTGTCTATACTGCTTATCAATCGCTTTCTTATTCGGATGTATCAAGCCGTATATGCTACCGAGAGGAAGACGTGTGTTATGACTCAATCTTCATTCATTTTAGGTGCCTGAAGCTCTGTCTTGACTTGTTCTGGCGACCGGATGACCCAAGTCGCTTCTGTGCTTTACTCATAGTTGAGCAACATACTGGACTATTTTAATATGAGCATTCGACCGATTACCGGATGTCAAAACAGTAGAACAATAACTTGAAAAGCCTCCTAACCATCTATCTAGCTGGCAAAAGAAAATGATATTCAACTATGTTCATAGAAAAGTTATTTGCCTTACTTTGACGGCGTCCAATCTCTTTTCACTTGTTCAGATGAACACACTCTGAGACATGGTGTTTAGAATGCTTGTTTCATTTCCGAGGCTAGAAATGAAGGATTTCTCTTGTTCTCCAGTTGTGAGTTAATAATCATTGTATGACTTCATTCGACTTACTTTGAACAGTAGCGCCCGATGCAATTGCCCACCCAGCTTTATTTTTCCAATTGGGATTACGTTCGAATTGATCTCATGGCGTACTTCTGCAATTCCCAGCTCCCACCGATATGAGGTGAACTCATCTCTGTTGACTTCGCCACCGAGGCAGTTCGCGACAAACCTGGTGTAATGCAGGGAGAGCGATACTTCAGCGATACTTGGGAACACTGCTTGGTTTATCGGTTGCCAAGTTCAAACATGTTGTTTCAGACATCTTAACTCCAGTCGTGGTGACAACCTGTGTAATGTTGGCCGCGACAATACGACGCTGGTTGTCCGAGCATCGAAGCTAAAACAATGTTGAGTCCGGTTAATAATTGTATTGGTAATCAGATGGGAATACCGAGTGTTGCTCAAATGCTGCTCACTCGCCTAATGTCCGATCATCCAGGACGAGGTACAGTGTAACTAGAAAGTGTTCGGCATGTGGCTGCCAAACTCATTCCCAATTTAAGAGATATGTCGTACAAGGCCCAGTGCACGATACTGGGCTTGTTGTATCGTCGGTTTTAAATGGACCTCCTAATGCTGCTCCGGATATTATATGTAAGTGACTTCCCAATACTGAGCTCGCTGCTACACGTGTGCGCACCAAGTCACACTCGCGGGCATCGGTACAAGTTTGTAGTACTTGATCTGAAGCAGATAGCTTACACTTTATGGTTTGAGTATCGAGTGCTGAAAGATTGGAAGTTTTGCCTAGACGATAGTCAAGGCGAAATCGGTGTCTGCCAATTTTGCGAATTACAGATATCGAGAGCGCATTGCACCTGAATACCCGCCACACAACCGAACTGCGTTGACGGTGCACAGTAATAACTATCGTTATTCTGCGTACGCGCCCGGTATTATATCGACAGAGTAACTGGTGTATATTTTCTTTATAGTTCTCTAATTTCAGCATTCGGTTGCGTTATGAGTGCTTATGTTAAAAAAAATCAAGAATAAATGTTACCAGCTGTTATTCCGATCTTCTATGCGCTTCTGGCGTCATTACTCTTAATTTATTTGCAGATACTTTTCGACGATATTCTTGTCTGGTTGCTATTGATCGCACGAATATTGGTGCGACATGGGAAAGTCTCGCAAATTTCCTGCTTTACCGTGGACTCAGTGTGTAGCAGTCTGGAGATTCCCCGGTTTGCTTGTGTAAAATTCTAACCAAAATTCTATAATTGTACACTTAGGCAACCGGTGTGGTTTGTTGAACTGATTGCTGAGTTTGAATGCTTTACTTGCTCATCGCCATTTTTGCTTGGCGCTCGCTTCGGTTGCAACGCGCGACTGCTCTGTGTACTGTGTTTGCTCCGTTTCCCTAGCTAGAGCGTCCACGGTGTCGTTCGTTTATAGCTAGCTAACAGGGAATCTTTTGCTGAACCAATAAAAGTTTCCCTGCAACTCGATCTGTCTTCTGGAATCGCTCTCTGGGCTCCCGGAATAGGCAACCCTCTAAAAGTGTCACCATCCAAAAAAACCGCTATTAATTATAAGTAGGTTGTCTATATACAGAGTGCTCTGTAATCAACTGATATCACAGCAGTCAATTCGTATCTCGACTACCAGCTTTCACTCCATATCCCTATTGTATTGCACGTCAGGATCGCACCAGACTTCTACGCTATTAGCCTGATTTTGTGGGAAGAAATCAACGATTCATAGCTGTTTCTAGGCATAACTGGGTACCTTATTGTCAGAAGATGCCATACGCAGAGCAAACTGCGGCGAATTCCGCTTTTATCTTCCGCATTTTTTCGAAACAGTTCATGTTAGGGTGCGAGATAGTTGTATGCTCAATGTTTCTCGGGTAAGTAAGTTCAATTCTGTCATTCGCTTTCACCTTCCTGAAAAGCCAATTTCAGCAAGCGCGCGTTGGCTCTATTTTGCTTTAGCGCCGCAGATCAGCACGTGACTGCGTCGCCTGCAGCACTACACCATTTTACACGCATGTTAGCGCATTGTGCCAAGCTTTTAGCGTGGTACATTTTCGGAATCTCGTGCAATGCTTTCAACTTAACGAGGTTTCCTTCAGCTAGGCATCAAAATAGAACAGAAAGTGGTGCTCGAACACTTTCATTGGACTGTCTGTCGCTTATGCTGTGGGCTTTCAACCGGTATCCCATTTGGTAACATCCCATGACCAATGAGAGTGTCAACGACGCCAAAACAGCGTTCTTAGTCTCGCTAACTTGAAAGCACTGCACGCGGTTTCGAAATGTGCCACGCTAAAAGCTGGGTACAATGCGCTAAAATGTGTGTAAAATGGTATAGGCTTATCGGGATTTTTTCCGTTTAAGACTACAATAACAAAACTACACCAGGACTAAAACACATTCTCATGAATTTTCGGAATTCCAATGTGCCAATATCTCTATGTCAGAAAGATCAGTTTGCACTCAGTTGACGGCAACTCCTTTCCGGGTCTCATTGTTTCCAGTTCAAAAAATCCATACATTAGGCAAAGATAACCCTTAGTTGGCATTTACTAAGGATACTCATAGCTCAGTTTGTAGACGAAGGTATCCGGTTGTTCTCCGAGTTCGATGTTTTAGCTCGAATAACAGCCGAACACTTTCGTTGCCATTACTTGTCGCTGTTATTCGTTTCTGGTACTCTAAGTGGGATTCGTATTGAAACTTTCTGCTCCGTCCTTATTCAGCTTGAGTTCAAATTTAACTTTAAATTAGTAATCTACAGGGACATTTTAGGAGAGGTACTTTACTGTTCAATTCTAATCAGAAGTTTGATTGCAGATAACGTGTGCTTGACAACTTTGACGCACTATGAGAAATCGAAGACTACAGGACCTAGCAGACTATTCCTAATTATGGCACTCCAAAAATCAGTTGCAACAAATCGTGTTAGTCTAAACTAACATGCGCGTCTACTATTTTCATAAGTTGGCTGAAGACCACAATTCGTCACCTTCATGAAAGAGATTACGTCAAAAATTCGTATCTCGCAGATTTCAATTCAGTAGGAAACAAAACTCGGGTGACTCGTTCACGACCAATAAATTTCTCGTAGACTACTTACACATGAAAGATGACAAAGCCGGACCATATTCAGACTTGTCCATGCCTTGACTCACGCATTACTCATGGGCTCTGATAGTTACTGTGTTGTTTGGCAGCCATCAGTCCCCGAAAACGCCACATGAGCAGTATGTACGAGGGAAAACTGAACATGGGGCACAACACTGGAGGCAGCAACAACAGAATATATGTGTGGGTCATGACTTACAGCTAAATTCGCGGATTGCTCACCTTCCTAACTCCATTGCCTGCTCCGTTGGGTCCCCGACCGGTAATATCACGTTGGTAGCTTGATCTGACCACTCCAGTAATTGATCATCGCACTCTACGGATTCGTCTGCATCTTCAGCTGGCTGCTGATGCATGCCATCGGAATCTTGCTTCTCGGTCTGGCTGTCCGCATCCCCAGTCTCATCTGGTACGTTCTGAGTGCTGATAAAATATGTAGTGTGTTTGTAGTCAGGCTTTCATTAAAATAACTCACTTTACTTCGGCTGCCAGCATGTTTTACATATTGCAAAGTACACATTTCCTACAATGTAATTAGATTACAAGCCAACTCGCCTGGCTACCAGTTCGGCGGAGCACAATAGGACGTTTCGTTCTCTTGAGAATTGCCAGCGGTGCACGTTCCCTCGATCCCCCTATATGGAGCCGAGCTCACAACATAATGGCTTGCGCCACTACCCAGTAACTTATGTCACTTAACCGTGAGGGACGCTGGATGACCGCCGTGCAATATATCATAACCTATCCTCCATTGCCATGCAGGTTACTGCCCGTGCAGAGGACTGTGGTTGGCCCTCAGGCGTCATAACTTACCTACCAGTAACCGTGATACCACATGGCATTTTGAAGACTGTTAGCGTTAGTTTTTACTACTCATGAGTAATGGGAAGTTGTGGTAATTAAACGATATTTAGACACGCAGGTGGAAGAATCGTCTCAACACCTCAGCTTTAACTGTATCTAAGATTCTTGATTGTGATGACAGGTTGAAGAATTATCCGCCGCATATATATATATATATATATATATGTGTGTGTGTGGCAATGTCAGCCGGTGGCCGAGTGGTCTGCACACCTGGCTTGCAATCATAAGGTCACCGGTTCGAATCCGTGTAGGGGCGGGGGCCCTCGCGCTAAATCCAGCCCGCGCGCGACTGGTTGTGGTCGCGTGGTAGCGAAGCGCGTACAGCTGACACATTATTTATTATGTATGCAACTTACTATCGGAATCGGCATGTTTCATTCTGACCGTTCACTGTAGCCCTATAGATAGATTGTCTAACACCGATTAGTTGACCGCAGAGTGAAAAACAGTGTGAAGCTTCTCTCACCCCACCCCCGAGCACGATTCAGTACACCGACTTTCGAGTTTGTTAGTACTCGGCCCATTGATCTTTTGCAGGTCCGAACTTGACGGATTCAACTACCCAGTTTCCTGACAACTTGCTGACCCTACTTTGCTTAGGAACTGAGGGAGAAAAATTGATTCTTGTTTTCCGACTTATTCTAGCCTTAAAAAGAAACGCTCCTATTTCAAAGGGAATCATTCGACGTTTGCTGGCTTCCAGTTTGTTGACTTTTACTGACGAAGTTACGTTAACTAGAACTTAACCAATATTGGGAACCAGTTCGGTGAAACCGAGTGTAACTTGGTTCATACACATCATGCGCGAAATAGTGTGTGCAAAATCTGGATCAAATTGTACAGTACGCCTGCACCAGAACATTGTCTTCGGAGTTGGGTACTGGTTGTTCGACCAGAACTGAAAATGTGTCGAGATGGAGAACCGATAAATCGGCTTTTTGTGGACAACATTCCTGTAATTTAATTCTCTCCTTTCCCAACAGCTGTTCAGCGTATAGATGAGTCTCGCATTGGAATTTTCACTTTAACCTGGTATCACTGATGTAGTGGTTTTGCTGCGCTTGGTTTTAACAGTGAAGAGCAGAAAAGGATGTCAAGGCTGGACGTTTACATAGTATCTTCATGAGGTTGTGCCAGATCCCGTTGGAGCTCAGTCACATATGCCACAGTAGTAAACACTGTCACAACGCGAAATTACGTGTCAACCAATGGACGTCTATGATGACATAACGTTGCAGTAACCCTGAAACCTGTGCTTTTTCAGTAATCCACAACATGGTATTTTATAAGCCTTTATCCCTCATCATCATCATTGCACGTCAAAATATGTGCGCAGTACAAAAGGATAACCCATGACAAAGACGAGATAAAGATCATTATATAAGGCCAAAAACGTAATTTGCTACCTAGCGTCATATGAAACATCACATGAGAGAACGGGGTTGGAGAGGAACAAAGAAACTAACAACACAAACGTCATTGGAGCCGGCTCTTTAATAAATGAATGAATTGGCGGCATCCTTATCCGGATTTGCCTATCACTGTGACCTCCATGGGGACAGCCACGGGGTGTCTACAGAGGGACCATGGGTGACTTGCGCTGCACCACACACAGCTCCATCAGCATACCCCATATCCAGTGTAAACCCGAAGGAATAAGACCGGGCTCTTAGTAGTGTATATTCAACCAACCTTGAACATCGTGTTTCGGATCCCAGCCTAGCAGTCGGGAAACACCAACCGATACCAATTTCGAAGTGCTGGTCGTCATACCTTTTGATCAAGTCATCGCTCGGCTTTCTCTTCTTTCATCAGCGCACGACACGGGAGTCCGTGTGTTGGAATGCACAAGATATGGCCCAGCCATCGGAGCCTGGTGCGTGACCTAATGATGCTGAGCAGTTTACACGCTTTTCCTGCACTAAATGGAAGACCTCGAACCCGTTCATTGCTGACGCGGTGTTCCCACCAGTCATGAGCTAAGCTGCGAATGCAGCGCGGATCGAATGTATAAAGTTTCTTTATGTTTGTCCGTCTGATGGACCAGGATTAACAACCCTACAGGAAGGTTGAAAGGACGGCTGCATTGTAGACTCTACCATCCAGGGCGAGGTGTGCCATGCTGGTGCCACAGGTGGCGAAAGTTGGTAGAAGTGCCTTGAATTTTTGTCAAACGGTTCGTGACCTCATCTTCTAATCCACAGGTGCTAGTATAGCTGTACTACTACTAAATGATCCCCAACCGGGGTCAGCGCAGGGGAACTTCCCTGCCAATCTCAGAAAAGGATTTCGCATTTCGACGGTGCAGTGCACAGCTCGAAATGACTGAGCCTATGCTAATTTGCCCAGTGCGACTTGGCACGTTTGGGAGCGATCACAAATGAACACAATGTCGTCAGGACACTCCAAGTCAATAAGTCGTTCGTCTGGGAGCAGCTCCAACCCTTCTAATTTGTGCCCAGGGAACGCCGTTTCCAAGACTTCGTTGATGGCGAAGTTAAAGAGGGAAGGTGACGGCAGGCAACCTTATTTCACACCCCTGGTGCTCAATGCAGCCACGATTTCGATGAAACCCGGTCTGCTCCTCGCGCATCGGGCTTTAACGGGTGCTGGTCATTCTGTGGAGGACGACAAATGCAAGTAGCATAGCGTCAATAGAGAGTAAACTGGTTCCTGTGTGATTTCACATTCAGACTGGGAACCTCCCTAGCAAATTGGGACTATAACAAAATCTTAAGATCAATTCTCTAGGCGCTTTTACAAGCTGTGTGTTTGATGTCCACTCTTGTCGCGTATGGTGTTACTGACCCCATGTCTCCTGTTGCCCGATTTACGCATTAAGCGGATGGTTACCAAGAGCAAGGGCTGTTTCAATCTCCGATGCCTTATGAGAACTCTATGCTTCCCAATCTCTCTTCGGAATAGCATGCAACTTGCCCTGAGATTTTACGCGTTCCGTCGAGTTCGCTTAAAGCCGAAACACGTCGATGTGCATTCATAATTTCTATAGACTTTATAGAGACCTGCTGTTTAGGTTGGCAATTTGATTTGTCATATGAGGATACCTGCTGTTAGTAAATTCAGGCGAGTATGCGACCAGTGATCTTCCAGTTTTCAATGGGTGTTTACTCACCTCGGATGCCAGTGTACTCGGATATGCATTCGGAACATCTGGCTTCGCCAGTAGACCAGTACCTATGCGCTCACAGCACTATTGCGGACGTCTGCCGAAAGGCACCCACGGGTCGGCGTATACAAGCCCGTGTTCAAAGTCTACGCTCGTGCTCCAAATCGAGCAACAGTTTTGAAGACAATCTCTTCAGCGGTAATTACTCTAGGTGTAATCGATTTTCGTCCATGGCTGGTTTGTGCTTTCGGACTGTCCATTTGCTTTGCTGATTGTAACTCCAGTATGCACTTTTTACCCGGCGAGTGTCTGCTACATAGTTTCTCGCCGTTGCTGATTCGCTCCTCCTTCCGTGTGGCATTTGTAAGTTACGTTCGGTCCAATTTCCTCAATTTTCTTTATCATTCTGTAGTTGGAACGTATCTTACATGTCACCGCTACCCATTCGTATTCGGAGCGCACTTAGTAACAGAGGGTAATCGAACGATTAGTCCATCACTGGTACGCGTCTATGCAATTGGCTAGTTAGTTCAGCCACATCGCGTTCTTATTGGTTTGCTTCACATTGAAGAATCTTCACGTCATGCTTAAATCGTGGGTTATATGATCCAGGTGCGCAGTTTTCGGCCCGATACATTCTGCCTCGTATTGTGCCTTGTTCTGTCTAACTCCGGTCTGGAGACGTGCTTGCTTTAATGCGTTACTACGTAATAAACACCATTCCTCAACCCAGCGAAAACCCTCAATACATCTTCCTATGCTTGCATGCTCCTCGGATATTCACGTCATTTTGCTGCAACCCTTGTTACTTAGAAGTCGTTAACCTAGTCACCAAATAAGGTACCTGGCTTTTGTCGTATAGTTCCATCACCGTGTGTCATTAAAAATAAAAATAAACCAGATCGTCAGCTGCACATCATAACGATGCTTCGCTGCCGCGCGACCACCATCAGTCGCGCATGGGCTGAGTATACAGCGAGGACGCCCGCACGTACGAGGATTTGAACCGGCGACCTTCGGATTGCAAGCCAGGCGTGCAGACTGCTCTGCCACCAGCCGACCCGTATGTCATTAGTTGTTAAGGTGCCACTAAATGGCCTCCTCCTCAATATTTCTTTCGACAGATTGCCAATTTGTAGGGGTAAGGAGGTGTCCTGTGTTTCGGCCGATCCTCGATGATAGTCGATTTGATATTATCTTGTTCAATATGCTCTATGCTTAAAAACATAATATTCTTACATGTTGTCCTAACTTGTAGACCGAATCCACCGGAGTCTGGCGCAACCATTGGCCTTGAGGACGAACTCCCGACTTCTGTTATTCCAACCAAGTGCCCTCAGATCCATCTGTCTGTTCAGAACAGGTTTCTTCCATCATCTGCACATATGATGAGCGAGGAGTAGCCGACCACACGCCACTCGGCTACCTTGAAGCTCTACATCTAACTATTGTCTTTATCACTTTGCACACTTTATTTTCTGTGCTACTAACGACGGGCGGATCAAGTGGGGGTCAATAAGATTAGCACGCGAATCTGGTAGATCCAAACGAAGAATGGGACGTACCCTGGCCAAATCAACTTGCGAACTTATCAGTATCGTATCATAAAACGCACAACCGTTAATTTGACATCAGTCGGCATTCCCCCACACCTGGTTCCTTATCCCCCGTGGGTTCCTAGAAACGAGGAAACTAGACTGCTTTTATACCAATACTCAAAGTCTATCCAATAACCTGACCGAACTGAATGATCGCCAAGTTTCTTAGCCAAGTGATATCATAGGTGTCACTGAGACATGGCTACTCGCTGGAATAGACCCTTACACTTCAGTGGGTATTACCATCAGCTAATCTTTCGGCTTTTGTTTCCCCGCCGCCGGGACCCAAATACATCTATTTTTACAGCGGAATTGTCTTGCAAAAGCTGACGTTTCCGCACAACCACAGCTCCCGGGATCTCGCTCTTATTCGCACAGAAGCACTTTGAGCAGCATCAAGACAACTGAGTTCTTTTAGTGCTGCTTAGACCGGAACCAGTTTCCTGATATGTGAAAACTTGGAGTAATAACTCTGCTTCACGAAGGTGGAAGCAGGACTGAGCCTTCAAACTTTTCTCTGTACTGTCCAAGGTTACGGAATCCATCGTTGCTGATACGTTGGTGTATTATCTAGTGAATTGCAACGTCGTTGTTCCTAAGCAACACGACTTTCAGTTACATCGATCGTGCACAGAGTAGTTCAGCCGAGTCAGCTGACACTCCAGTGAAGGTTGATGTCATCTATTTGAATTTGTCTAAGTCATTCGATCGTCTAGAGCAAGCGTATCCAAACCTTTTGCAAGAAGGACCACATTTTATGAAGTAAACATATGTCGGGCCATATTTGGTGTGATATCAAGATAACAACAAAAATTACACACGTACGAAAAAGATTCAAGACTGAATTTGTTATTTCATGATGAGGCCGCGGACCAGTTGAAATCTTAACGCGGAACGCATTTGACCCGCAAACCGGACTTTGTACAACCCTGGTTTAGATCATCGTATTCTCTTTTTCAAACTCCAACATTACGGCATTTATGACACTCACTTGAACTAGATCGCTAACTTTCTCACGCAATGACATATAGTGGCCAGAGTTCTGAGCTCCATATTTGATCCCATACAGGTCGAATGAGGCGTGCCTCAGATCTCAGATCTGACGTCACGATTCTTCTCGGTATTTATTACTAACCTTGCGCAAACAATCGTCTCACATTTCCTACTGTCTACTAACGATATCTAGTTATGGAGTAGGATTCAGGCGGATGCCGAACAGAAATTAATTTAGCCTGACCTAGATGTGGTACATCAGTGGTCAACCCAGAATCTGCTACAGTTCAACGTGGGCAAATGCAAGGTACTCTGCACACAACAACAAAGTATCTGTGCTTAGAGACTAGAAACGCAAGTATTGCAGCGATCATCCGTCGAACTTGACCTTTGTGTGTTGGTTGAGAACAATTTTGTTGTTCCACGCAATCCCAAAAGGCATCAGAAACTGGTAACCAACACGTCGGCTCGTTACGACGGGCGTTCGGACAAATAAAGAATTCCGTTTTCAGACAGACGCTCAATGCCTATGTTCGCCCCCATGTCGAATACTCAATTCAAGCTTGCGACCATGACTAAAACGCAACCTCACTGCACTGCAGCAACCTCAACGTCGGACTTCCAAATACATCATCGGGATGCATACTCCGCCATATCAGCAAGGACTGGAATATTTAAGCATGTTCAGCAGAAGGTACCGTTGATTACGAGGCGACCTGACAATGTCACACTAAATTTTACACAATACAAAGCATGTGTGCCGCTTCTTACCGTAGCACAGCAGTAAGAAAAAATAGGGATCAATCCATGAAAATCGCAGAACAGTGCAACCCCTTGGAGTGCTTAAGAAATTTCATTTTTTATTCGCCTTTCACCACTGGAACGCTCTCCTCGAATTTGTCGTTTATGGAGCTACATTAGCAATATTTAAAAGATGATTGTATGACGCACCCATCCACTTACTAGGTATTTTATACTATTTCCTCGTCTTAATACTTGGAAAACCACCGATTTATTATTTTCATCTACGTGGATAGCTGGACTACAGCATATCAGACGATAGGTCCAATCTTCTGACAGTATAAAGATAAGTATAAGTACTAACTGCCGTTTTATTAACGTTTTTTCGTTAACCCAACAGACAACCCAAGGTTGCTTGTAAACCACTGTTTCATACCGTCTATAAAATCCTTGTTTCCCGTTCAGATTTTACCGAGATTTCCCATCGTCTTTTTCAGATTTCTAGTTACATATTAAATGGCATTCCTTGCCACCTGCAGTAGAACACAGCATGGTATCCAGATTTTGTCCAATAACCGTTGTCTATCACGGTGAGATCTAGCTAAACATCCGATTGGCGCCCGGAATAGAACTGTTCGCATCATTTGAACTCCTTGGTGAGCAGTGTCCTCTCGAGCACTGGAGAATTGAAACTATCATTTTTCCGCCATGTGGCCGCTGGACCACATTGAATGTACTCGTTATGTGAATGGATTGCGACGCGCACTCTCTACGTAGACCGCGATTCGCATTAAATTAAATTCTGGTCAGTACGAGCACTTGAACCGTAGCCGATACGGATGGAAATGGGATGTCACCCTCCTGAAAACAATACACACCACGACGTGTTTCGACGTTGTTTGATTACATCAGGTGGAGATAGCGGACCTAATTGGGCTTGCGCGTTGCAATCCATTCACACGACGTGTACTTCAAAATAATCCTCCAAACATGCATTAACCTCTGTGCCAAGCGTTGCTTGTCGTGACCTGGTAGCCAAAAGGGTAGAGGTTTCGGCTGCTATTCTAACAGTCTCGGGTTCGAAAACTACTATCCACCTGATGAGATCACACGAGGTTATAACGCGTCAGTGTGTGCAGTGTTTTCGGGAGGGTAACACCTAATTTCCATCTGCAACTGGACCACATATTTAATCAGTCCAAGACTACAGAGGCCATAATCAATATTTATTAATAAATTTGTAGAATGCAGAGTGCTTACCACGACGAAACACAGAAGAGATACACTGGGCGACTGTCCGTCAGAGGTTGTCGCATGTACTCCGAAATGCTGAGACAGTCCGCCACCGACTGCACTGGCCCCCGATCATAGAATACATCACCGAGATGATCGCTGTAATCTGAAAAGTATTTATTATTGTAGATATTTTTTATTATAAAACCATTTGTTTGAACCAACAGTGCGTGGCTCTATCTATGAGAGATGGTCAATTTTCTAGATAAATATGTCCTACAATTTAATTTACAACCTGAAATCGTATTGCGTTTGTTAATTCGAATATTCCCTTGCAAAGATTAGAGGGTATTGATAAATGGAATTTGGATTAAAGTTTCCACTATTATCAAGCTGAGCAATGATCATATTTTCCTTATCCCTGCTTGGTCGGTACTGCCGTGCTTATCGCAACGCAAATCATACGGCTAAAGAACGCGGTTTATTTTCGAACGAATTCGAGGCACTAGTAGTCCAGTTGGTTGTTCAGTTTTGGATTGGTTTGCCGAGGTTGGTAAATTGGTTACACACACTTCATCACTTCGCTTGATGGCGTGTGATCGTGAGTTTATTAAAATCATTAGGCCTCTCGTCTCCCTACCGCATCATACCACAAAATTCTGTATTAGGGGCACACCTGTTATTGGTGTCTACGAGTAACTAATGTGAATTTTATCCACAGGTTTTCCACCCCCTCTAATGACCAGTTTGTAGAAACCATGCGAGAAATCAGTCCGCCTCCGGTTTATCTGCATTTCTGGACTTGGAGCACACAATTTTCAAACATCTTACAAAGAGCACGAAATTGGTGTGCTCGTACATAACGTCGTCGGAAGTTTATGTTTGTCTGAGTCAGCAGCAAGATGAGGATAATAAGCTGCTGGTCTACTGCGGAGAGCTTTGATACACTTTCTCCTTAATGCTCATTGACGTCGACCGGGGGCCGAAACTATCAGGCTCCTGCCCTGTAATCCGGCGGTCACCGGTTCGAATTCGCGTAGATGAGGATGACATTGTGTTGAACAAAAACAAACGCTCGACTAGTCTGCAACGTAGCGTCGGTCAATGATACTAGCGTACTTATAATGCCATTCCTTTTTATTGACCAGCTTTGCTCTACTGCCAAATGTGGCGCCCAAACTCACTCACTTTGGCACGGCTGCGACCTTACTGCTCTAGAGACCCCACGTTATAGATTGACAAATATATCAAACAACCGTGCTGGTTTTCACATCAGCAAGGTTGAAAGAATTCGTTGTATTTGGGGGGTACTGTCGATAACCATGTGGTGACATTGTAATAACACACCAGGTGCCGTGTGATTCCAATCGGGTAGACGGCCGTAACACCGATCCATCACGTGGCCAAGTAAAACCAACTGGGCATCACTGCCATCACGTGCGGCTTTGTCCCTTGTTTTGCTTTCTTGAAGCTATGCGCTGGTGTGCATGTGTGTGTGTGTGTGTGGGTTAAAGTTGCATATTCCGTTTTCATGGGTACATAAAGCACACGGTTGACTGACTTGCATTGAACTCGCTCCCGTGTTAGCTCACTTCGTAAAGCTGCCGCACATTGCGTCTGTTTCTCACAACCACGTACTGACGACCACCAATAGTCACGTCGGGGCTAAGGATGCTGCAATGTTGCCCACGACTGCACAGACTTGCCCCGATAATTTGTAGGTCACAAGCCAGACTCCAAAACCATCTGACAATCTGCTAAAGGTACCGCGGAATATCCTTTTGTGAGCGAACGGCAACTTCATTGGATTTTGCGAATCACGTGTGACGCACGGCAAGCCGGGTGAACGAAACACTGCTTTCCTCTGAGAAACATGGATGCAGCTGTCAGCCG